AGATGGTGATTTGACAATGAAATCAATAGTTTGACAACTACTGCTGCAGTGGTGACATCAACACGACAATGGTGGTTCTGACAACCGTTGTCTTGGTGATAGTGGCTAGATGGCGGGGCAGCAAGGCGATGATGGCAACAACAACATCATAGGTCAGACGATAATAGTATGATAACAATGATAATGATCCCACAATGGCAACACTAGTCCAAATACAGTGACGACCTTAACTAGAAGATGGTGTTTTATTGCAGCAGTAGTTGGGAAATGGTGATTAGACGATGAGATTGATGTTGATTGGGCGATGATGGTCCAACAGTACTGGTTAGTTATAAGGAAATGGTGAAGGAATAAGGTTGTTGGCTGAGCAGCAATAGTTTAGTTGAAACAAGAGCAGTTATGGTGGTCCAACAACGATGGTGTTGAGGTAATGGTGGTCCAACGACAATGATGCTTAGGCAGTGGTGTTATGATGATGGTGTTGCATGGGCAATAGTGATTTGATATCAATGGTGGAGCCCTCGTGACGGTGGTCCATGATGATGATATTGGTTGTTCGGCGATGATTATAGCATTCGTGTGATGGTGGTCTGACAACGGTGGTTAGATAGCAATAGTCCGATGAGGGCGACAACCCACAAGGTGGTCTGACAATGATGGAGCTCGGGATATCTCATGAGCTTGTAGCTCTCTTTAGTGTTTTCTTCTAAGTCTATGTGTTTTTTCGTGAGGAAGAGAATGTTTATTTATAGATTTAGGTAGTAATGTTCTCCATAAGTAAAACTTAAATGTAGATCACTTTAGTAGAATACCTAGAGTAATTTCTTCAATGATATGATATTTTGTAAGTATTTGAATGTCTTAATGATGTCATGATTAAGTGATCTTAGGCTTGTGAGATTCTTATTTCCAAAATGTTTGATGTGACTTTAAACTTTTCATATTTCTTTTCGTATTTGTAGATTATTTGGTCCCAAAAAATATATCCCAATACTTTTTTTGTTAAAAATAGCTCAATTTAATCATTTTATTATGATTTGATTCGTCTCTCCAAAAAAAAATCATTTGAATTGGAGTATAAGTAATCCTTCATTGAATATTTGGAGCTCCCAGTCCCAATGTGCTTTAAGATTTGTGCCCGTGAAGACAATTCTTTGAATAATCATCATTGCTAAATGTGAATATTATTTGACTTTTTATTTAAATTTCCATTGCTTATAATAATATTTAAAGTGCTTAATTTTGGCTCATTTAGACTCGAATTGATTCTCTTTTTATATCATTAGATTTATTCTGTCAATATTTTTTGTTTGAGTACAATTTTGTTGAAATATGAGCTTAGTTGATCTTGAATTTTACTATACAAGTTGTTGATCTTGAATTTTACTGTCCGAGTTATCTCATCCAAAGTACATTGAGACTGATATACAATATCATGGGGTTTTTTTTTTTTTGCGTATCAATTATGATTTATTTCAAATTCAATCTAAATTATATATATAAATA